GTTCAGCCAGCGTTTGCAATATAAGCGCAAAAAATGTGTTTATTTACGACATCACATTAGAAACCTCTAAAATTATCAGTGTTTCTCTACTACATTATTCATGTATTATACATATAAACCTTCCTCTTGAATCACTCTATCTATTAAAAGAAACCGTATTAAAATCCGTTGCGTAGTTTTAAAGATCTAAGCATACATAGGGACAGACAGCGGGAAGCGACTTTGTTTTATACTATATAGTGATATTGCTTTGACTCGATGCGAGTACAATCACTTGTCCCTTTTGCAAAATATTGAAAACCAATAAAATACATTGGTGATTAGGCTGTAATAATTATCGATTACTAATAAGGATGGTTTTTGATTCGTTAATGCTCGATATAGAAAGGATATCTAGGACATGTGCGGGTAAATTGGATAAAAATTATATACCTAAAATCCTCTTGCTAGAAACGTAACAAACTGTTTGTTCTTTGAGGAATAATGCCATGCCATTCGAGGGCAATACGATCAGCATACAAAAGCAAGTTTCCTTGAAAATTTCTCTTTTAGTTTCGACTGTGACAGCTATTTTTCCGGAGCTATTTGTCTTACATTATACATCAAAGTCCAAAGCAACAGTTTGAGAATCGCTGTCACAGAAAGCAGCAGCGCAGATGGAGAAGATGAAGAAGACGTACAAACAGGGAGACGAATCAGTCACGGTTGGCTGAACACCCCGAAACGGCTGCTAACGCCGACCCCATCGTCTTGCTCTTGCTCTTTCCCCAACGCAACATAACCCAACTTCTTCCTCGCGCTCACCTGTCTCACTCGCCACCCCCTACCTATGTTGTTACGGCGATATTGTCTGTCCCTACCCACCTCTCAAACGACCCGTGAAAACCTGGCAAACCAAGAAGGAAAAGGGAAATTTTCGCGTCAAGCTTCTTTGCGCCGGAAAAATAAAAATAACAGAGAAACAACTCGACATTTGTTCCTGTCAGTTACGATCCATCCTCGCCGCCGTGGGCGACCAAAAGGAAAAATTACATTAGGCCCACGTCAGACCCTCTCAAACTCAAATTGAGTTGCAATAAGAGAAACGGCTCCTCCTGATGCTCTATTAGCCACATAAATCAGTAATTTAGACGGACTTTTTATTTCCGACGAGTACTTTTCATTTTTTTTTAACCACTTAACAGTAGCAATAACCGCAATAAATACAGATATTTCCCAATACCGTACAAAAAGTTTATGGTGGTCAAAGTATTCTGTCGAAACTGATTGCGATTTCGATCTTATTGGACCTCATCATCGTTATGAAGAGTTTCTATAGAATACAGACCTATTACATGCTGATTTAAGACAGCATTTTACGAATTACTATAAACAGCGTTGTAAACGCCATCTGTGGTGTTTTTAGTGCGATTAAAAAATGTTCAATAAGGTCCTTAAGGATATCGATTCGTAAATTTGTAATAAACTTACTACTTACGTAAGGTTAGCTAGTCAGTTTAACATGTCGATATTCTTATCTATAGATGTCGCCTAGCGAGCTGTTTATACTAATTCATATTTCTTCATGTTTTATAAAGAATGTGTCTCGTTAGGCGTTACATATTCTCGTCTTCTTCTAATAAATTTTCAAAATATCCTAATTTGAAAATTGAACATAAATTAAATCAAAATTCAGTTCAGTCAAAGTTTTATGTATTTTATTTTAGTAGATCATCCTTTTTCGTAAATTATGTTCAATTTTGACTCTAGACTTTATAATGGTGACTGAAAAGTCATCTCAAATGTATAGGGAATGACAGAAATCTGAACAATTATCTGCTTTATTTTCAAAAGATTTTCATTTTGTTCACAAAAAGTTGTGATAAACTCTCAAAATGAAAAGAATATAATTTTCCAAAAATATTGTCATCCATATTCTAGAACTGTAAAAAGAGCTCAACCTTTTTTGTCATTTAGAATAGAGTACGTGAATGCTTTTAATTCTGAAACACATTAGTGCATCCCATTTTGTTGATAACGTAGATAGCTACTGTTCTGCCCAAAAGCCTTCAATTATTTCAATGCACGTAACTTTGGTCGTATCGTATCATCTGATATTGGGAATCAAAGCGAAGTACAGAACATTTTGTCTCTAGTAGACAAGCAAAATGGAACGGAAATGCTCTACTTACCTTCTTTATTTCCGCTTTTCAATCGCTAGCTGATATGAGTATCTCATCCCAGAAATAAAAAGGTATATATATATATTTTAGAAAGAAAAGTAAAGAAAAGAAAAACGCATTGTACGAAGTTAATAACACATTCGATTTCATTTGATCTTAAAAGGAGCTGTTTAACTACCATTTTGTTTAATTGTAATACCAGTATTTGTACTAAGACTCCGTTTTCGAAACAAAATTTTTGTCTTTGCCGAGACATAATCGGATTGGTTGTTTCGCAGTTTTATTTATTTAAGTGGATTCATGTTATTGATATTGATTTCATTTTAACCACGAGGTGTAGCAGATAGGCGGTAACAAAACAAAAAAAAAACCAACAGGAAAAATAAACACGACGTCGTTATTAAACCTCCAAGATGGATGAGACCTTCGGAACCAAGGTCCTGGACGTGCGTGTGGAAACTCAATGAACATCAGTGAATGACATCGAAAATTTAATTACCACAACGAACCTTTTGCCGAAAATAAGCCCTCTTTTTTGCCACAATCCCTGCGGTGGCGTTTAATAGAGCAAACGGGAATGGGAACGAAAAAGCTGACATCGTCTTTCTTTCGGGTAACAAATTGGGGATAGAATTAGGGACTAAAACGGACGCCTGCCGATGGTCAGGACTATCTAATATAAATTTTTATGGCATTGAGGATTTTATAAGCAATAAGCAAATAGTTCAAAGTTCATCATTTAAAAGGCAGCAACACATTTAGTGTACAGTGATGACCAAACAACAGATATTGTATTTGCCTGCCTGTGAAAATATTTCTAAATATAAAAAATTAAACATTGTGAAAATTCCAGGTTTATCGGCCGGCATATTATGCAACTGCGTATTTAATATGGAATTAAAAATGAGATCATGTTTCAACACAATTGTGTAATAAAAAACCTATTAAATCGAACAATACTAACACTGTAACTAATTATCAACTTGAGTCATCATTTTAATGACCGTCAATTAATTCCTCAACGTTTAAACTGCTTGAAGTTTATGCTGGAAGATTTAAAGGAAGACGTAATAATTAAAACATTAATTTGGCTAAAATTCCACAGATACAAAAAGTACCTTCCACCTAACTGTGGATTATACTTTCGATGTCGTATTTGTGGAATTATAGGTTTCATCTTCGTGAACACCTAAACACTTTCAGAATCGTCGTCATTATCTTACCTTCATCGTTGTTACTACCCAAAAGAATTTCCATGTCTTCGTAATCACCCTCGTTCATCATTTCTATAGGATGTTTTGGAAGAAATACGCCATCGATAGTTGGAGCCGATGGGAATCCAAGAATTCCAGAATAAGAGTTCCACTGTTGCGAAGAAATTGTTTTTGCATCAACAGCTCTCATGCAATCCAACACTTGATGAGGTTTGGTCCTCAGTAATGAAACGTTACATCCACAATCTTTGACCAGAACCTCTCCAACTGTCTGGGCTTTCTCCCCTGTTATGTAACTCCATGGAGCATTCATCGTTCCTGACTGGAGGATGCCCCTTTTCGCAAGTCCCCTGGTTACAGGACTCAATAGATGTATGCTCACTGAACTTCCACCGGCAGATTCTCCAAAGAGTGTTATTTGATGAGGATCGCCACCGAAAGCTGGAGCATTATCCTTTATCCAACGAATGGCCAGCGCCTGATCCCACAACCCCATATTCCCTGGAGCTTCCTCGCTGCCATGCCCAAAATATTTATTCAGATATAGAAATCCAAAAGCACCCACCCTGTATTGCATTGATGCTACGATGACATCATTGGTAGCTGCCATTATGTCCGCATCATAGATGTCCAAGGTTGCCGAACCTGTCATAAAACCACCACCGTAGATCCATATCAAAATGGGTACCTTTGGCAAATCTCCTCGTGGTTTGTTATCGTGATGCCGTATCCTCAGTCGCTGCGGAACCCAAAGATTCAGATACAAGCAATCCTCCGAGATGTTGGTGTTGGGGTTCCACATTTCTTCGCCCTCGAAACCGGGGAAGTATTCGTAACGTTCTTGAACGCATGAATTGGGTAGTTTGGTGGCGTTCAAGATCCCATGCCACGGTTCTATCGGTACAGGTTTCCGGAATCGGAGTTGTTCCAACGGCGGTTTGGCGAACGGGATTCCAGTGAAGACATGAACTTCGCGACCGAGAACCGTTTTCGAATAACCGCGTACCATTCCCGTCGTCGTTTCAACCACCAAAGGATCGATGGTGAAGTCTTTGGCAGCTGGTGGTCTAGTGGTGGTCTCTTCGCCCTGCCACGAGTAACCGTACATCGATCCACAGATTGACAGTATAAATAACATCACAGCATACAGTTCCATTTTTATTTAGAAAATATACGCTAGAAAATATGAGTGTAAAATTGGAAAAAAAGCACGCTGGCTTTACATGGTACCTATTTAAGGGACCGAGCAATTTGGTCTTTACACTTGACAACCAATATCTTCAAGCACTAGCACTAGCGAAAAGAAAAAGGGGCCGCAGTGCAATCGTGCACTGATGCGCTTGCAAAAACCGTTCGGTCAGAGGGTAAAAGTTTTCGAAAGTGGAAATGGCGCGTGTCGGAAGTTTTGTAATGTAACCCGTTGGATGTTTGGTATCGCGCAACTCAGTCGCACGCTAAAACAGGACTGCGAGCAGATCCTAGCACCACAGGGCCTCCGGAGCTCGCGCGCAAGCTCCAAATCATCTGCTTCCTATTTCCAATTGTTTGGCTGTGCTTTAAAAGATTATCTTACACAAAAGACCATTACCGAAGAGAAATTGTTAATAATATAAGTCCTACTAGTGTGTACGTGTACTCCGCAAGAGAAATGCTAGATTTTCCTCGTGAAACTGTATTATTAGTAGTATCTAACAACCGGGGGTTAGCGTAATATTAAAAGTTTGTCTTACAACGATTTTGTTTGCAGTAAAATATGGAGATATTTATGAAAACATATTTTAACTTAAAACTTAAGAATTGTTTAGGAAGTTTATCTTACTATAGTAGCATCGGAGGTTGGATTCCAAATTTTGTCGGAACTTTTCCAGGCGTGCTGATGGGAGCAAACAAGTTTAAAACCGATCTGTACGTCAGGCGTTTCGTCAGAAGAGGTTGTTATTCTTAAGTAGGTTTATGTTCCTTGCTTTCCTTCCACTTTCGCTGCATACAATTCTTCCGCAACCGCTATATTTGTGTTTATCTAACACAAAGCATATCCTGTGTACTTACACTCTGTATATTACGTAGCGATTTTTAATTTAGCGTCGCCGCTACGAGATGAAAGTTGTGCCATATCCAATTACAGCGACTGCATCTTCCCGGAGAACTTACAGCCTGATGACTGTGTAATTCCCGTGCAATAAGTACTTGTGTAGCGGTGTAGAGAGGAGCGTCGCGACGCGTCGCCTGGCGTCGGCATCGCATCGTTCCCCTCAATTCGGCAACTAAAATTAATTAGAGGACGTATTTGCGAGCGCCGTCTAATTAAAACCAGGATGCATACACGGATACGTATATGCATGCAAATGTGCACAGGCATATATGCACGTATGTCTATAGGTATGCACGTGTGTACATTGACGCACACGCTTATCTAAATGCTGAAAGTCGGAAATCATTTTATTATCGCCTGCTCCAGTTAGCTTAATTCCTGTTTTTTAATTGTGTAGTGTACGTTTCAATCAATTTAAACAGCGATTACTAACTCTATTTTAGTCGTTAATCGAAAATGCAAGGTCAAATAAGTTAGCTATTGATATTTTTAATAGGCAGGGATCAAAACTAGTAAAAAGTATTAAGTATGTAAGCTACAAACAAGTTTTTCGTATATATTTACTTTGCAATAGGCGCGATTTAGTTAATTGTATTTTTGGCCTAATTCATGATTGCAAAACTTTTAGTTACCTAACACGTATTAGCCTATAGAATGATTCTCAATTGAAAAGATTTTTCACTGTGGCAAGTCGTATGCCATTAAAACGTCATTTAGCGGAAGCAATATATTTATCGGATCCAATTAAACTCGTCAACATCAACAATAAATTATTTGTTTTGAAGGAAATGGTATTCTCATCGTATATAGTAGATACGAATAATGTATTTTTAAGATGTAGCAAAGGTCGAAGATCGCTCGAGTCGAGATCACCCACAGGAAGAATCAATTGTTACAGCTTCATTATCTGATATTACGCTGTTAAATCAACACACAGTGACCCTCTACCGGTATTAAATCTATTTATGAATGATGATAGACGAAGCATATCTGGTCCATGTACGATTCCACGTTCACCATACTCTATTTAATAGGTACTAGGTACCTACCAGAACAATCGTGAATATGATGTTAATGTTTAAATGCTATTCGTTATTTTGCAAAGTACTGAATTACTGATTGACTTCGTCTCTATTTGATGAAAATCCATTTTAAATAATTAGAAAAACTACGTGCATATTTTCACTAGATCTTTCGGCGTTTGTGTCGACTAGTTTTCTTCAGCGGCGGCAGACAGAAGACGGAGAGCGGAGAGTCCGTTACAGTCCCGGCGGCGTGTGCTGTGCTCAGCTGTTGTTGTTTTCTTACATCTGCTGTCCACGTGGCTGGGCATCATTACCTCTATTTGTGGTCTGTGTAAAAGTCAAATCATTATTTACAGTAAACCTGTGAAAATGAAATGTGTGATGGGACATCTTTAAAATTTGACGAATTTCCCTGTTGCTCACTGATGACACAGGAACTCAATACTTAAGTAAGGGCGTTCTGGTTTTGATGGTGCAAACAACGGATTGTAGGTGACGTCGCGACGCGACTCGACGTGTCGAAGCTCGTCGTATAGTTTCCTCGTTGTGATTTACATATTCATCAGTAGCTTTTGAAATGATCCCCGTGTCCCCAACCTTGTTAATTTAACCGAGCGGATAATAACGATCTCGTAGTGCCAATTCGACAAGCTTCCCAGAATTGGGAAGGACTTTACCAGAGTTCACTTATGGGACCGAGTCCATCATCTTCTATGAATCTATGACATCGATTACCATAAACCTTAATTTTAGACATTTCCAAATTCATTTGGAGCTTTAAGTGTAGTTAAGAAAATTGCAAAATAATGTAAATGGAACTGATAAGTATTTCAAACTCTGTTACAATGAAATTAATTGTAGAACCCTGTAGTTTCGTATTAGGTTATTTAACATGCTGGTTGTATAACAAATTATTATTGTTATTATGCAAAATCCTGCCGCTGAGCAGTACCTACCACGGGCCACAATTACTGAAGCCAATAATTTATTAATTTATACAAACTAAATATGTGCGCTTGCATTAGAACTAGTTTACATTGCAATTTTAGACCACGAACAGTAATGTGATTATATGAATTTTGCGGGTTACACGGTAAATCGTATTATAAACAAACAATCCTTGTACCAAATCAATACGTTAATACCGAAATGCATTGGACAAATAAAAGCTCATCTAGTACGCTTTGAATGCTAATAACATATACTGAGTGAAATGAATTCATTTGTAAACTCCCGTCGAACGTTACTGCATTATTATATCCATTGGCATTGTACAATTATGAACAATATTTTACGAATAAAGAAACAAAAAGTGCCGATCATATTCGACTGCCTATTTAAACTTTTAAAAACAATCAAAAGCGTAAACAAATAAATAAATAATGAAAGATGCTTTGGTCTGTTTTCAACTCAATACCGCACTCTACAAAGCAGGACGTGTGGTATTAATATTTACACCGAGTCAACGTTGGTTTTATGGTGTGCTAAATGAGTTAAACGCCCTTCTAGATATTCGGTTTCGTAATGTCACAGTAGGTCTTAACATGTCCACTACAGTATCAGAATTGGTAGCAATGACTTAGTGGCATACGAAATTTTATGGTGTAGTAGCAGGATTAAATGTACCCCTGATAACTAGGTAGTTTGGCAAGTTTAATGAGAATGACTCGGTACTTTGAATCAGATTTATAACAGATTTGAAGGGCTACTCAGCTTATTGTACTCTCGGTATCTCGATACCTGATCGGGTTTATAACAAACTAGAAGAGATACCTAGCTAGGCATACTTATGGTGATTCGGTACCTGGGCAGGTTAAATAACGAACTAGGAAAACTACCTAACTAACCATACTCTTCGTATCTCGGAGGCTAGTCAAATTTATAGCAAACTATAGGGGCTACCCAGCTAAGCATGCTTACAGTGACTCGGTCCCTAGGCAGATTAAATAACGAACTAAATAGCTACCTAGCTAATTATGCTCTTGATATCTCGGAGTCTTGTAAGATTTATAAGAAACTAAAAAGGCTACCTAGCTAAGCATACTCAAATTAACTTGATACCTAGGCAGGTTTAATACTGAACTAGAAGGGCTACCTAGCTAATTGTACTCTCGGTATCTCGATAGCGGATCGGGTTTATAACAAACTAGAAGAGATACCTAGCTAGGCATACTTATGGTGATTCGGTACCTGGGCAGGTTTAACAACGAACTAAGAGAGCTACCTAACTAACCATACTCTTCGTATCTCGGAGGCTAGTCAAATTTATAGCAAACTATAGGGGCTACCCAGCTAAGCATGCTTACAGTGACTCGGTCCCTAGGCAGATTAAATAACGAACTAAATAGCTACCTAGCTAATTATGCTCTTGATATCTCGGAGTCTTGTAAGATTTATAAGAAACTAAAAAGGCTACCTAGCTAAGCATACTCAAATTAACTTGATACCTAGGCAGGTTTAATACTGAACTAGAAGGGCTACCTAGCTAATCATACTCTTGGTATCTCGGAGTCTTGTAAGATTTATAGGAAACTAAAAGGGCTACCTGATGGTTAAGCATACTGAAGGTGACTCGGTACCTAGACAGGTTTAATACCGAACTAGAAGGGCTACCTGGCTAATTATACTGTAGGTATCTAAATAATAAATGCAAAACAAACTAAAAGAACTAGTTGGTAGTAAATATATACTGACAAATTAGCAAGTCCTGACTCGTTATTACTGCGGATTCAATGATGCTGACTCGGTAACGAAACTTAAAACGGCATTTATGACTCGGTGTTATTAGGCTATCTAACTAAATTCACTATTTCTTTGAAACTGTCATTTCATATTGCTTCCTCTTCATGTGTACCATGGCACGCGTTTGCATAACTATGGGCGTATGCACGTATTATTTGAATAATGAAATAATATAGCCCTTCGTTGTAAATACTAACAAATGGCTGCGATTGTTGCTCACCACTCTGTTGCGTATATAAACCCATTAAATGTGAAAATGAGAACACTTCCATGTGGGAAGCAGCCAAGCATTCGTGATTTTAAAGTGCCTTGGGGCAAGAGAAATCCTCGTATGAAGGGAAAACAATAACAGAAGGGTTGAGAAACTCCGGGGAAAATTGTAATGTTACGTTGCATTACTTAGAAATTCATTAATCTGCCTAGCCCAAAAATTTTCTCATTTGCAATTTACGTGGTTGCGAGAGAACAGAATATTCCACTTTCCGAAGTTTTGTAATGAAAATGTTAATATTAAACCGTATTTATCCAGTTTGGCCACAGGGTATCTTTTTGATCATTGTAATTTCAAATGTCTCCTGAAATTCGAAACATTACGTGCTTGCGAGACATTTATTATTATATATTATTGTAAATAGAAAGAGGAGAGATCCAAATCAAGTTTTTCCAATATACGCAAAATGTATTTCGATTCTTAATCGTTCTAATTTTTTTCCAGAAATTATCTACTGATACATGTTCGGGATGCTGCCTCATGCCATCGGTGTGACTCTCACCGCCTCTCGCCATCAAGGAGTTGGATTTAGGTGAGTGAAAATTCAAATTGATCACCTTCAGCTATTTCACAGTGTCCAAATTGTTATTTGATAGTGACAGACGCCGTAGAATTTCGTCAATCACAAAATTGGAAAAAATATTTCCAATAAAAGTACACAAAATATAATTGAGTACGTAAGACATAAGTAAATAAACACTAAAAACTGAAAATTCCATAAACCTTAATACGTGTTTCGACACCCAAGTTAAATCAGTAGCAGGTTCCTAATACTGGCGATTTAAAATTGATATCATTTGATAACTTTTTCAAAAATATCAGATGTGCGTTCTTTCAGTTGTCAATCTAAAGTGTACTTTTCGACACTCTGCATAATACTTTTGTTATTAGACGTAAGAAATTTAAGAAATTCAACTGAAAGTTCTCTAGTTTAGTTAACGTAAGAAGTACTTACATATTCTTAAATTATGAATGTCTCTTTGTATATTACGTTCCATTTTACAATGTTTTCCTATTATAGCTTGCAAAGTTTATCGATTCTGAAAGGCATATTCCGTTGTGCAACGAATATACAAATTCGGAGAGTTGTTCGTTTTGAATGTATCGGATGGGTATGTTGCGCATCAGCATTTACAAAAATTGCTTCGCTACCCGAAAACTGGCACATAATATTCACTGCCGAAGCCAGAAAGCGATTTAAAGGCGCGAAGAATTGACCAAAACGGCAATAAAATTCTATTCTTTTTCGTATCTGAGGTTGATGCGATAAATAAGAGAAGGAAAGGGTACAATAACTGCCCCATTTCTACCGACAGACACACACAGACCTTCATTTTCTTAGTGTAACAAAGGCATAAGTCCCGACACAATTTTTGAGATTATTTTCGAAGGCGATTGCAAATTCCAACGCCCTACGTTAAATTGTTTGTAATTATTATAATGAATATTTCAGCCGGGAGTTTTAAGACAAATTCTCGTTCATTATCGAATGGTCGTTAGCAAATCATTACATTTCTAACCAATTGTAGGTCTTCCTGTACCTCTCTTTACTCCTGTATCTTCTCCTAGCTTTAAATGTGTATGTCCTTCCTCTTGCTCCTTATTCATTTCATTCTTTGTTTCTACATTTTCCAGTACTTCGTAATTTCTAACCTCTTCTTTCTACAGTGTTTTCATCATTCGCTTATGACACTAAAGTAAAATAAATCAATGTTGATAATTAAATTATTAGTTGAATAAAATAATTCGAAGTGGTCTGTATTCTGTCGAAACTGCCAGACGCGGATCGCGATTTCGATCTTTTTGGATCTCATCAGCGCGTCGCAGGCAGCAACCGACAGAACACAGACCAACTTTTACCTGCTGCCTTAACAGCGCGTTTTAGAAAATACTACGAATGACGCTGTAAACGCCATCTGTAGTACAGTGTTACATTTTAGGATTACGTATGCTTCAGCAAGGTCTATTTAAATATATGGATATCTACTTGCTGAAACGCGCCAGGTAAAAGTTGGTCTGGGTTCTGTCGGAGCTGTCTGCGACGCGCTGATGAGATCCAAAAAGATCGAAATCGTGATCCGCGTCTGGCAGTTTCGACAGAATACAGACCACTTCGAATTATTTTATTCGATTATGGTAACGTGCCTACCACGTTGAGGTGAGCTACGCCGGGATTCGTTTCAGCAAGTAGATATCCATATATGTATTTAAATGGACCTTGTTGGAGTATACGTAATCCTAAAATGTAGCACTGTACTACAGATGGCGTTTACAGCGCCATTTGTCGTATTTTCTAAATTATTAGTTGGTCGTAATTCTTTAAAACTTATATTGTGCTACAGTGTGACGCTTTAAAAGTTTATCTCCAAAGTTTGTGTGCTTTGTCTTCGTTAATAAATAGGAGAGTTTTGATCTTAACACATGCTTAGTTTATTATTATAAGTGGACTCGGGCAGAGTTTAATATGAAACGTAAGTGTGAAAATTAACCCTAACGAGTTAGTACAACTGTTACACGTTCTCTTCGACTTTACAAATTGCGGTGACGCTTTTCAGTTTTCTGAAAATAAACTTGCAGTGAAGATGTCCATATAGGAAGTTATGAAACCGCCGTTAACATTTCATTTTCTAGAGAACGACGAGTTCGCAACTAATAAAAACTTTTGAAATGTATAGAACTCGAAAAATAAAGTCGAAGTTGACATTTGGCGTGGTATTAGCTGCTACTTTTTCACTGTTTATTTGTCGACTTTTATTACTTCTTCTATTACATTATGTCGCATACGGAATTACGAATCTTTTCGTGCTCAAACTGATCTTGAAAATGAATAAATGAAGATTTACTCAAAAAAACTTATCCAAGCAATACAAGATAGCAAATCAAATAGGTTTGTGTTTGGTCTTATGTGTCATTCAATGAGTTAAAGGCGAGTATCGAAGCGTAGTACAAGCGAGAATTTAGCGGGGAGTTATAGACGAGCGGCTTGAGTCAAAATCGAGTACCAACGAGTCCTTGCTAAATCATAACATGACTTAATGATACCAATAGATTATGCACTTACTTATTAAGAACCATAAAATGAAGTACACCAGCTACACGTTCTTGTCAAATAAAAAGACAATATATTCTTGGATTGTGGACCAAGGATATTAGTACTAGATATCTGATATTGTAAAGTCGATAATCCTTGAAAAAATAACTGGTAGCAGCTATTCCATTGGATTTTCGATAATAATTATTTGAAGCGAGCGATTACGATAGGTAATTTGAATGTCTATCTATCAAACATTATCAGCCCCGAATGCAAATAAAATGAGAACAGAGTAATTAAACTTTCAAGGTATTTCCATGTTTCCGATATTTCTCGGTCTCAATAGCACACTGCCGTCGCGACGTCGGCGTCGGTTGGGAACGTCGAAGAAGGTCATTTAGGCGTCTTGATGTTACCATTTAAAGAATCAAATTGCGACGTAATAAGCCAAAGAATCGATATTAACCCCCCCCCCCGTTAATAACGCCGCCTCGACAGAGGGATAAAAGCCAGGATGAAAACAGCAGAGAGGGTAAAAATGAAGAGATACGTTCACTTTAGAAATTGGTGTTACTGAATAATTTGAAGTGTTTTTGTGATTTGGATTGCATAACGAATTAAACACTCTTTAATCACCCAATGATACCCGTAACAAATTAAATATATGAACGCCATATCATTACATAGCTACGGAATATAGAATCGACCACAACGCCTCGTGGTTTCTCTAAATAAACCACAACGCATAATTTGCATCAATGTAAATTTTATGGCTTTTTTTTATAATATTTGACCAGAATTATATATAATATATTTATAATAATTGTAACGTCTTAGTTTCTTTCTTTTTTCTTGCAGATTTTACGTTGTGGATTAGTTCGATAAACCACAACGCGTTGCGTTCGTTCTTTCGATCGACCAGCTTAATATAAACATCAAAAAGGCTTTCGCTATCGTACAATAATTAATTATTCCTTTTATGTAGGTAACTTGCCTGTCAGTGACTTGTACAAAAGTAATTTAATCATAAAATTGCTCTTGACATAGCAGCGGTCTCATTATGACGTAGTGTGTAGAAAGACCTTTGCTCTTGACATTGAAAAAGTAAAGGTAATAAAAAGGAAATAAAGACACACGGGAGGCGTTTTTAAGTGTCTTCACGCGCGAGCTTGCATATCCTTAAAGGATAAAGAACTTGGAAAGGAAATATGACTTTGTAAGCCGGTTACCTAAATTCAAAAGAGATTGAGGAGGTTAAGCCGATTTAAACCGTTTCAGTAGAAGGTGTCTGTCGGTACAAATGTTTGAATCTGGCAATCAGCCTTTATTTACAATTTAAACATCGAACTTCTAACTGATAATAAAAAGTATATAAATTGAGACGATCAAACTTGCCAAGGTCCGCAATAATTATTTTTTTCCTTGTTTCTACTTGAGACTGCAGTCATTTGATGCGTTTTGAACACGCCCTTGTTAAGTTAGGAATTGCTTCATGAGGGGTTCAGACATAGTGAAAAAAGATAACCAAATAATAGTAAGCGCTGCAGCTGTTAGAGGTTGTTTAAGTATGCAAAAGGTCAGGGCCGCTTTAAATATAATGCATGGTTGGAATTATATCTTTTAACAAACGTCTTTGCTTTCCTAAATTCCTGAGAATGTTAAGCTTTCTTTAAAGTCCGATGCTGGCGACATACTCAAATTCTGTTCGTAGTAGTAGTGCCCGCTGCAATTCCTATCTGATATCTCTTTTCTGTGATTACGAATATTATAAATTCAATAGATTTTGAGACATTTTCAGTTTCGTCAATCAACGTTCCGCGCACGACTGTTTCCAGTTTGTCATCAACACATTTCGAAAATGAAATAGAACTAAGTCTTTTCACAGCGGTCCCGTTCGCACATTAAAAATTTATCGGAAGCACGTGTCAAAGGAAAAAACAATAAACAACAAGACAAGTAAACAGTTACTAATGTGAACACAGTAAAGCAGGCTCGAGTAGGACTGGTAGGGGTGGGGGTTAATTTGGTTAAGAAGGATTGATTGGAAAGAGGGATGAAGGGCAAGAACCGAAGAAGAAGGAGAAGAACGGCCCATTCGTTTGTTTTGTCTGACAGACGGACAGACGCCTATTTCTTTACAACGTGGAATTACCTACAGAGTGAACGCGTTCAATGAATAATTAATTTGGGGAACTGACGCTTGCCTTTTCTCTCTTTGTTTCGTTCTAGATCGTTCTCTTTCGAACCGATCGATTCGGTTTGTGGCATTGTTTTCACAGATATTCCTATTCAAGGATAATTAATCGTTTGCAGGTGGGTATAGGCACATTTAAATGTCGACCATTGTTTTTGGGTCAAAGGGCGAAACGGGATAAAGATTGATGAATAATTCACCAATCGAATCGGTTGACAACTACGAACAGCCACAATGGTTAAATGGCTTTTTAAGTACCCTCTCAATATATATTGTAATGTTCGTGGGTTTAACAAAATTTAACTTCTAAGATGAAAAGTATTTATTTACACTGCTGCGCTATTTATTTCACTTTTACAACGGTCAATTTATTTCTACTCTACTCGGCGATCGTCTCTTCCATTAAATACTCTTTTGGTCCCTTTCCAGAACCTTCTGGAAACGTCCGGATCGGTTAGTTTTTCTTTGAACTTTCGACGACACACACACTTACAAATGCGGCGCACATGAAGAGAGGAGCCCGCGGCTAGTCGGCGAATCGATAAGCCGGTCACGCACACGTGTGCTCGATCGCACACAAACACGCTCGTGCTCGCTACAATATTTACACGTGCTGATAGTAATATATTTTGATATAATTTTACTGTATACCCAGTGACAGACTTCGACAAATAGCAAAAGAATCCGTCGAATTTTTTTCTCGAATAATAAGGACATTTGGTTAGAATTTATCAAAGCCAGGAGGCATAAATCGCCATTTTGATCGTATTAATCCCCATCAGCACGTAGCACGTTGTTTTACGTGTTAGTAAGAATAATCACCCGGTGTAGACGTAATAGTATAATTGGTACAGCCCTTCCAAAGGATTATTATCCTGAATACGTTCATAAATAATCATGACCGATTAAGACCGATTTTCAATAAATAATTCAGCGAATCGATTAAACCGGGACAGAAAATACAGTTGGGTTATTTTCTTACCTTTTCTTAACCTTTTTCAAATAACAAGTACCTACCCGACTTCTTGCTTATATATGTATAAACGGCAATAAAGTAGGTCATAATTTTGATAATAAACCTCATGAATACAATTGAATAGGGGCCAGTTATAAAATACGTAACTCAAAATTACCACCCCTTCCTCCCTATCACAAAATCTTTCACTATTATTGATATGCTTAATATTAATTTATATTTTAATCAGTACCTACACAAATTCATTTAAATAAGATATGTATCTAGAACATGGTAATTTATCGAAACTGAACGTGGCGTGCTGCTGAGAACTAATAACAAATTCACAATCAACGTCTAGTACCTGTTTTCCATAAATTACTGACCAGGTTTCCTAGACATCTCATCTTCAACGTTCGGTATTTTTCCATTTGTCAAAAACTATTTTAACTATTTAATTAACCAACCATGCAAGTAAAAGAGCAGGTAGAGAATTTAAAAAGTTTATATTTTCAACTTTGTTCGGTAAATACCGTGTAGATATACGTTTGCATCACAAATAATTAAATAAATGTGCTTTCGAAAATTTAAGTAGTTCTTACATCTGCAGACCTCATTTCAACTTTGAAATTGAGTATTTAATCGCAAATTTGTCTCCCAACGGGACTGAGGGAAACAATTTTGCTTTTTAATTCATTTATGCAAACCACGAAAAGCAAACGAGTAATTTCTTCTTCTAATTAAAAGTACAAGAATAACTTCCTCGCCCACTACAAATTATTCTTGTGTATTCGTCTGTTTCTCTACATGTAAAAATGGTTGATAATACGAAGTATTTGAAATGGAAGGTGCACGGTAAAACAAAAGAAAACTTTTCTGGTTGTTTTAAACAAGTAACCAAAATAGATATGGGTACAGTACTTTGTGATAATTTTAGGATAATTTTTACGGTTTTTAATACATTAAAGTGAATTAATTTTTTTAATTAAATTTTTTTTTTAGAGAAGCGGTGTTGACAAAACAGTATTGTATGAAAATAAATAAAAGTAAAACTAAAATACTGGTATGCAAGGGTAGGAGAAGCACCGAGCGGCATGGCCTAGAGGTCTAGACCATTGCTTAGCATTCGGGAGGACGCCGGTTCGATTCCGGGTCCGTCTGCCTTGGTCCAAGTTTTTCTGTGGTTTCCTTGGATCACTTAGGCAAATGCTGAGGCAGTAATATTCCACAGATAATCTTTCACTCTCTTCTGTCTTCATTTCGTCCGTCTCATCTTTCTCACCCAAACCACCACCCACCCATTCCCACGATTCCTGAAAGCAGGCTGAAGAGGGCCTTCCGCCCTACCTTCCGGCATAGTCCGGAGGGACTGCCCGCCCACCAGCATTAGTGGCTGGTGGGAATGAAACACACAAAAGTTTTTTTTTTCTTTTTAAGAAGGAAAAGTAGGGAAAGAGCGAAGATAAAGATAGGAGACGAAAAATTAGAAGAAGTGGCTGATTTTAGATACCTAGGAAGTCAGATAAGTTAGGATGGAAGGAGTAGTAAGGATATAAAGCAGAGGATAGCGCAGGGTCGTGTCGCCTTTAATAAAAAGAAGTCACTTCTATGCTCGCGAACGGTTAATTTAGAAATTAGAAAAAGATTGTTAAAGGTGTATGTTTGGAGCACGGCGTTGTACGGGTGCGAAACATGGACAGTGGGAGCGGCGGAAAAGAAAAGGTTAGAAGCGTTCGAAATGTGGTGTTATAGGCGGATGATGAGGATATCGTGGGTAGAAAAGGTTAGAAATGAGAAGGTATTGGAAAGAATAGGAGAACAGAGGACTCTATGGAAGTCAATAAAAAATAGGTGAGATAGGTTGGTAGGACACCTTCTCAGGCATGAAGGTCTAGCCAGAGATATATTACAGGCAGAAACATGAGTTAGAAGGGGTAGAGGTAGACCTAGATTAGATCACTCTTCGTAAATGGTTAAGGATTTGGGATGTTTTAGTTTTTGGGAAATGCGAAGATTAGCTCAGGATAGGAAAAAGTGGAGGTACGTGTCCAACCAGTCTTAGGACTGATGACCTTATGATGATAATGATGATGAATTTGAAGTTACCTAAAGTGGTAAAAATTAATTGAAAAAGTAATTCATTTTAACAGTACTCACAATTTGTATTTTAAATAGAAATGTTTCAAACAAATCGTGTCTTTGGTTTTAAATAAAGGAAAGAAGTTGTATGAAAATGAGTTTGAATGAAAAGTTAGCTGAGGCATCGTAAAACGTTGCCACGATAATCCGCTTTAACCGTAAAATTCAGATATGCTCACTCAGTATTCTTTGAAATCAATACTTAAAGCCGCTGCTTGTGAACGATAAGAATGTCGATCGTGGTTGGCTATTTATTGACTGCACTAATGTTGCATTATTTATTGCGTAATAATGACTTAGGCGAGAATATGCGGAACTCTAAAATATGTTTTATTTTTCAGGAAATGGAAAACTAGCACCGCACTGCCATTCCGAATGAAGTGGAGAAATTTCCATAATTTGATTTCAAATACTTGCACCGAAAGTCGTAAATGGAGTAAGAGAGTTTGAAAGAAGTTAGGCGTCCAACTTCGACGTGCATTCGAGGTGTGTGGATGCATTTGCACCGACTGCCAAATCGAAAATGTGATGAATCGAAAAATAAATCATCAACGTAAGTTTTCATAACATTATTCAACTTAATTTTTACTTTCTAAGAAACTGGTGAGTTTTATTTGAAATTTTATAATAAGCTGTACAACTTCTGCTAACGAAGTAAGTTAAACTACAAATAAATTAGTGTTAGGTAAGGACCTAAGCCTGAGGAAAGTTTTACAACTAAAAACTTAAGACATTTTTAAGTTTTCTAAACAACTACAGTGGATTTCATTTATTATGACCTTGATTATAGCGACCATTTTACTATAGCGACGTTAAATATAAGACCCATGAATTCAAAGCATACTTTAGTAAAAAATTGATGTGGATATAGCCACTTCGGATGTAACGCCGAGTTCGGGTGTAGCGACTGTTTTTTAATGAATCATTTGTAACAAATCCCTAGTAGGTAATCCCATGCATTGGGCTTCGAACGAGCCCAGTTTGGTACAGATCGGACGTACAATTCTCGATTTCGAAAATAACACTTGGCTTAAACTTCCGACAGTAATAACTCCGAAACGGAACCTCGTAGGTGGGCGCTTTTACTCTTGACGCATAACACAGTATCTCCAAAAAATTTTGATAATACTCCCATAGAGATCGGACTGGAAACAGGGGAGCTATGGATTTTTAACCGCGGCCATGTTCGCGAGCGCACAGCTCCTAAGTTTGATTAAACGATCCATTCGGTATTCTGGTAGATAATATTAGGCATGTAACTCAAAACTGAAGCCTCAGTTAAGCCTTTCGGTATAAGTTTTGTTTGTAGAAGTCTCTTTTTGAGAAATTGTTATTAAAAGCCCCTTTAAATATTCAACTACATAGTACAAGAACTGAGTGGTTACTGAAAAACAAGTCCCAATACATAAACCAACGAACCTAAATACAGTAAAATTTGAACGAGGAAATAATATTAGAAACAATTGTTTTAAAAGTTAGAAATAAATATGATAAATGGCTTATCAGACTAAACCAGGGGGTGTAATGTATCTTTGTTCGTTTCGTGTTAAGGAATTTTCCAACCAAAATCCCTTTCATGTTTCGGCGTTACGAAGGAGATTTTTAAAAGAATACCAGCACATACTGCGGCAAAAATACACACATACATGCACATATACACACGCACACAGACAGACAGATAGAGGATGCAAGTAAGCAGCATTACTGTCCGGGGATTTACCGCCCGTTTGATATTCCACTCGGTTAACTTGAGGAAACAGACTAATATTTGTTTCTCGCTCGTGTCGAGTTTAACACATGTCAGCCGGGTGCTAATCCAATTTTGCTTCTCAAGATGCGAGCATGCTCCGCAAATACAAAATAACGCACCGAAAGAGAAGATAACGGCGTAATGCACTAGTTAATGCTCCTTGTGGCGAAGATATGTGATTACCGTCGTGTTTAATGGTAAGTAACCCCGTCTAGCGAGTCGAGAGATCTAATAAACTTGAAAATCTCTTTTAAGACAAAACGATAAATTTCAGTGCTCAAATATTTATTATGACACAATTCAAAGGCCGATGGTTGATCTATCTATCTTTATCAAATCTCTTCTTATTTACTTGTTAGTGCGAAATATCTTTTGAAATGGGCATGTCAATTTCTGGGGTAAATTTATCTTTATCAAATCTCTTCTTATTTACTTGTGAGTGCGAAATATCTTTTGAAATGTGCATGTCAATTTCCAGGGTAAATTTAAAAAACCACGGCAATTGACTGTGATAGGTACAAAAAATAGAAGATAATGGTTAATTTCTCCATGTTTACCAAATTTATTGCATGCAAAAAGATCTTCTGATGAGTGTTACGTTAGGTCATGTCAATCTTCCGGGTAAATTTCAAAATTCACAGCTGTTTATCAAAATATCAAATACCGTCTTATTTACTCATGCATGCTATACATCTTTTGATTAATGTTATTTTATGGGAATGTCAATCAGGCGGGTAAATTTCAAAATTCACAGAAATTAATTATGGCCCATAAAATAAGACGATAATTGGTTTCACCAAGCTCATATGAAAATATCAGATATCGTCTTATTTATTCCCGCATGCGATAGAACTTCTAAAAAAGTGTCCTGTCAGGGTATGTCAACTTTCCGGGTAAATTTCAAAATTAAAAAGTGTTTATCAAATATCAAATATACACTTAATTACTCATGCATTCCATACATCTTTTGATTAATGTTATGTTATGGGAATGTCAATCAGGCGGGTAAATCCCAACATTCACAGAAATTAATTATGGCGCATAAAATAAGACGATAATTGATTTCACCAAACTCATATCAGAATATCAGGTATCGTCTTATTTATTCCCGCATGCGATAGAACTTCTAAGAAAGTGTCCTGTCAGGGGTATGTCAACTTTCCAAGTAAATTTCAAAATTAAGAAATGTTTATCAAATACCAAATATATACTTATTTACTCATGCATGCCATAGATATTTTGAAGTGATATTATGTTACGGGCATGTCATTCTCGCGGGTAAATTTCAAAATCTACAGAATGGAACAAAAAATAGAACTTCTTCGTGTTTATTAAATCTCTTCCTAATTATTTACCCATGAAATAGTGTTAAGTCTGGAACATATAAATTGATTAAATGTCAAAAACCAGAGAAATTAATAAAATTGCTCAAACAATACACAATGATAGTATTTGTTATATCTCATACGTAATATGAGGTTCGTATGACATTTATTTATGTGTCTAAGAGCCTTTAATTCATTTAATGGGTTTTATTTGTTATGAATGACGTATCATGAGGCAGTTATCGTGAAAGAGGTATACAGAGGCGTGGAAAAGGTAGAGCACCCTTTAATTTTATTGCGTTAAAAATGAGGTTAATTTGTTAAGTCCCGAAAGGCCGACAAAATAAGACAAACTGTTTCCCAAGGAAAACGATCGTTTCCCCTGGCAAACTTATGAATTAGTTACACTCTTTTCGTATTATTGTAGACGGTACAACCACAACCGTTTAATTTTTTATGCACAATACGATTAAAAACTGGATCGAGACCGGCAAGAAGCCACTGAACCCGGCTTATCATTCGTTCCAAAGAAAATTAAAAGCACTCAGTTGGAAATTAAAAGTAAAAATGTAAAAATCAACCTATGTTCATATTCCAAAGGAATATTACGGGCAGCGTCTTTTCATAAGGAAACCCACGGTTAGTTTTAGATTAGAAGATGTACTTTATGATTTTCGTGAAATTTAATTTACATAAACTATTACAGGCTGTGCCCATTAAAGAGAATATTAATAATACCGAATTTAATAGACACAAATAACTACTTACAATTTTAGCGCGTTATCAATGCAGTAGTGTGAACTACTTACGAATGACAGAAACCTCGCATAATGTGGCCAGAACGCTGTATACTGTGAACAATAAACTAAACTTTAGGTTATAGAGTAACCGATGTCCTCTGGCTTTAAAAATCTAAATTCTACCTTTACTGTTAATTACCAGTATTATTTTATGATACTATTGGGCGCAGAAAATTGAAATTCGATATTGGTTTATAAATTTTTCATTTTCAACGAATTTTAAAACCTTTTTCTTCACGAGATTTCGTAACATGTTATTAATTATTTTAATTGTTAATTAGTCTTCCCTTGAACGAAAAATTAATGTACCTAACTGTCTCGTTATCGTTCAGAGTTAATTCTTTTGCATTTTTATCCTAAAAATACGGACTTGAAAATGTATAACAGAAGTAAGTATTAATATCCATTCAATAGGATAAATAAAAACTTTATCGATATCAGTACTGGTTTGCCTTTTTTCTTGGACAGACAGGCCACTCGACTTTAAAATAAAAGAAAAAAGAAAGTCGACAATTCGCATATCTTCTTCCACCGGTTTCTTTATGTGCCTCGCTCCCGTGTTATCCCTCTTCTCCCTTATTCCCAACTGAAATTGTGTTTTTCCTGACAGCGAAGATAGCCAGGTAGAGGCTTCGTTATTGATTTTACGTCATGCTAGGCCTTACACTCCGGAGATATGCCCAGGTAACTACACTGCAACTCGATTTCGTTGCTTGTAAGCGTTGCGTCGCGGCGGGCGCCGCGCCGTCGTCTCGCGTCACTGACACCGCCACAGCGCCACCATCGTATCACTTAAGACGCTATAAATTTTTTATTGTTTTTGTAAAAAATGTCAAACATACGGGCAGATTACTTCCTATTCCGTTTTGCCTCTCAGATTCTGATGATGATTGTCCTAAGCCAGGGGTTGCCAGGTTGTTAAGTGTACTTATTTCATAATGGTCACTGATTTTCGATATATAAGAGGTCAGGTAATATATTCCAGGATGGAAGGAGTAGTAGAGGATAGCGTTAGAGATTAGCTCAGGATAAGAAAGAGTGGCGGTGCGTGTCTATGTTCATAATGATGATTTTTCATTTGCTTCGTGATACTTTGAAGCGACCGAAATATAAAAAATTTCAACGACCCACGACTGTAAAAAATAATTAATCATCCTCCGCTGATCAATCACTTACGTTGGAGTCGCTTATTTATGATGTCGTCGAGTCACATCGTATTACATTCATTGTTCGAGTCTCACAGTCAGAAAGTTCGTCCATTATTTTTGATATGGTTAAACTTGTGATATCAAATTAATATGACAGTAATTAAAAAAATATTAGGAAAGTAACATTTGTTCAGGGTAACAGCAGTTGTATTGTAGATCATTTCTGTTAAAGGGAAATCAATATTAATCGAATCGTGGCGCCCTGGGTGATAATACCTAATACCTCTCAACAACGTTTATATCCCTGAATCCCAATCCCAATAATTCCATTTAATTCAAATTAGAGCATATACCTTCTCGAGAAGTAACCCTGTTTATACACGATAAACAAAAGACAATACAGTAAAGACAGGAATGTCAGATTTAAAAAGGCATGTCATCTTTTCGGGTAAGGTAAAGGTGCTTTCTTTTTCATTATCTCTTACACAATTTACTTACGCATGAAACAGATCTTCTGAAGTACTTAAGGCATGTCAATCTTCCCGGTAAATTTCAAAATCCACAGAAAATTCAAATTAAAAAAAGGCTTTTGCTTGTTCATAAAACCGCTTCTAACCTACGTATGTACTAGCTATAATTCTTGTGAAGTAGAAGAATGACGCGGGCATGTCATTCTATAGGGTAAATTTCAATGCTCACAATAATTGGCATAAATTTGGATGACAATTAATTTATTTTTGTTCATAAAACCGCTTGTAATTTACGCATACATTAGATAATTCTTATGAAGTAGCGGAATAACGCGGGCATGTCGTTTCACTAGGGTAAATTTCGATATAATCACAATAATTGGCATAAATTTGGATGACGATTAATTTCTTTTTGTTCATAAAACCGCTTGTAATTTACGTATGCATTAGATAATTCTTATGAAGTAGCGGAATAACGCGGGCATGTCGTTTCACTAGGGTAAATTTCGATATAATCACAATAATTGGCATAAATTTGGATGACGATTAATTTCTTTTTGTTCATAAAACCGCTTGTAATTTACGTATGCATTAGATAATTCTTATGAAGTAGCGGAATAACGCGGGCATGTCGTTTCACTAGGGTAAATTTCGATATAATCACAATAATTGGCATAAATTTGGATGACGATTAATTTCCTTTTGTTCATAAAACCGCTTGTAATTTACGTATGCATTAAATAATTCTTATGAAGTAGCGGAATAACGCGGGCATGTCGTTCTCTAGGGTAAATTTCGATATAATCACAATAATTGGCATAAATTTGTATGCCTAATAGCTGAACTCTTTAAATTAATGTTGTTTTGATGCGATCCGATTCTGTAATGTGTGGGGTCGAACTCATCAGGAATGACGACTGGAGCGAGCAGTGAAGCGAGCGGGTCTGTAGCATTCCGTGGAAAACAACAGGTGATGCGAGAGATATGATGCGGCGAGGTCGGTGGCAGAGGTTGAAACGGTAGCTGAGTAACAGGGTTGAGGCCAAGGCCACGTGTGTACATAGTAAACGTACGCTTTATTTGTATTACAAAGTAGGGGCTGAAACCTAACGATACTGGGATTGCCCGTTTACAGTAGCGCAAGGCAACGGAAGAAGAAAACCGCACACAAAGACGATATTACAATGCGGTTGTTACTAACACGCTTCGTATCCTTCAGCCCAATGCCCCTACGTACACACACATGCCAGCATCCCTGAAAGTACACTTTGGTTTACCGATGGATGTGAAACAGAATTTTTATACATCTACGTGTGTAAATATCTGTACATGCAAGAAGAGACTAAACGGTGACGCTGGAAGCAGCAAAACTAATGCCGGAAAACGCCTCTTTGACATCACACCCGAAAATGGTCGGTACCATGAGATTTTAAATACCCTTTTCCATAAACATCACTTCTCAAAGCTCAGTGAATACCTTCTAATTTTACGAACACTTTTTTATTTTTAAATTTTTGGTACATGCATACAACCTATGACACCGCATTCGAAAACCGTTGACACCATAAGATTCATCGTACCTCTTTATATAATCATCACTTCTCAAAGCTCAGTGAATACCTTCTACATCCGAATAATTTTACGAGCACTTTCTGATGTTTAAATTATATATGTATTTTAGTAAAACTACTCCTGGAAAGCACTTATTTGACATGGCACTTGAAAACTGTCGACACCATAAGATTTATCGTACCTCTTTATATAATCATCACTTTTTAAAGGTCAGTGAATACTTTGTATTTTCGAATAATTTTACGTGCGCTTTTTAATGTTTAAACTATTTATGTATTTTAGTAAAACTACTGCTGGAAAGCACTTATTTGACATGGCACTTGAAAACCGCCGACACCATGAGATTCATCGTATCTCTTTACATAATCATCACTTCTTAAAGGTCAGTGAATACTTTGTATTTTCGAATAATTTTACGTGCGCTTTTTAATGTTTAAATTATTTATGTATTTTAGTAAAACTACT